GTCCGTGAGTTCGAGCCCCGCGTCGGGCTCTGGGCTGATGGCTCAGAGCCTGGAGCCTGTTTCCGATTCTGTGTCTCCCTCTCTCTCTGCCCCTCCCCCGTTCATGCTCTGTCTCTGTCTCTCTCTGTCCCCCCAAAAAATAAATAAACGTTAAAAAAAAAAAAAAAGAACACACAGTGTTACTTGCAACCAAAAATAAACAAAACCAAACAAAAAACCTGTTATGCAAACACAAGAACTGTTAAAAAAAAAAAAGTCTAAAGTAACAGTAAGTGAACAATAGTAATCTACAAAGAAACTACTAAACACAGATATAAAATACTGCTGTGATATTATTAAGAGAATAGTAATAGATGTTCCATATTTAGCCAACCTTGTGTGACAACAGCGACAAAATAGTCACAGATGACAATAGAAATGTTCGTTTAGTAGAAAAAAATGACTTTAAAATTTGACGCCAGAATAGCCAAGTCTGTAAGAGAGATGAAAGCTAACCTCTTAAAATCACATAAAAGGAAGAGAATGCAAAATAGTATTAACTGGTGAAAGGAATTACGCATAAAAGTCTAAAAATTAATAACTTCTTTAACTAGATTATATTAGGACAGATCATACTCAACAACATTCATTATACCTACTGTCAAACTATCAGAAGATTAAAATAGAAGAAATCAAAATTAATGAGTATTTTATTGGTGATACCATTGTAAAAAAATAGAATTGCAAAAATAACTTTGAGTTTTAGTCACTGGTTTAAAAGAATAACGAGGGCTAGCTACTGAGAATAGCAGTTGGTAACGAACAAGCATTTTTTGTGAGCCACGGACAAAGCACCAGTTGAATTTCTTATTAAGACATGTTCTTGAGGCACCTGGGTAGCTCCGTTGGTTAAGTGTCTGACTTCGGCTGAGGTCATCATCTCAGAGTTCTGGGAGTTTGAGCCCCGCGTTGGGCTCTCTACTGTCAGAGCAGAGCCTACTCCAGATCTTCTGTCCCCCTCCCTTTCTGCCCCTCCCCACACTCTCTCTCTCTGTCTCTCTCTCTCTCAAAAATCAATAAACTTTGAAAAAATATAAAAAAAAGAAACATGTTCTCATCTGTGCCAATAAGGGAGTGCATCTTTGAACAATTCAATAACTGCAAAGATAGTCTCTGCATCTGTCCAAATAGGAGGCATCGTGAGGAAAACCATGTCATCTCTGCCATGACAACTACTTTTGGACACACAAAGGCAATCCTGATTAAACACCATTAACGCAAGATTTAACTTACACATGCTAACAAGATGGGCTAGAATTCTGCAAGAAAGAAAAGATTCTCCTTATGTTAAAAAAAATCGTGATCTTCAACAGGAAATTATCTTTGATTTTGTAGTATCCACAGTTACCTGGTGTGAACTGTTCCTACTATTAATAATGTTAGGCAAAGCTTGCAGGAACTCCAAAAGCTTGCACTGACAGGACTTGGGCTATTTTGCCCTTCTAAGATTCATTTGTGTTTCATTTAGAGAAAAATAGTTTAACTAAATTGAAATAAAGTGTATGTGACACATGTGATAAACGTGGCATTCTTAAAAATATTAGAAAATCAGAAATGTAAACAAAAACATTTGCAGCACTATAAAAGAGAATATTCAGAGACAAATAATCTCCAAACTAATTGCTACTGAGATTATTTTGGGGTTATTAGAAATCAACATGTAATGTCAATTCAAGAGAGATTTGAATAAGTCACCTAACATATTGCCATTTTTTTGATGCTCTTTATATTCCAGCTTTCAAGTTTTTTGAGAAAAAGAACTTAAGAAATAATTTATAGGGGTGCCGGGGTGGTTCAGTCAGTTAAGTGTTGGACTTTTGATTTCAACTCAGGTCGTTATCTCATGGTTCATGGGATCAAGCCCCATGCTGGGCTCCGTGCTAACAGTGTGGAGCCTGCTTGGGATTCTGTCTTTTCCCCCGCTCTGTCTGCCCTCTCCTGTGCTCTCTCTTTCTCTCAAAAATAAATATATAAACATTTTAAAAAGAAGTATTTTATAGTTCTAGATATTGCTCTTAGAGAAGTTGAAAATTACAGCAAAAGTGATAGTGATTTATATGATGAAATGAGAATATTTTATAACATTTTCAATGGTAATAACTTGTCATGAGAACCCACCACACTACCTGAACTTTAGTAAAATCCACTGCTGATATCTGAACATAAATGTTACTACATAACTTTATTGACAACTATTGGCTTACCAACTTTTCTCAATATTAAATTAATTTAAAAACGAGGGGGCGGCTGTGTGGCTTAGTTGGTTAAGCATCTGACTCTTGATTTGGGCTCAGGTGATGGGCTCTCACACTTTGTGAGATCAAGCCCCGTGTCAGGCTCTGCACTGAGTGTCTGGAGCCTGCTTGGGATTCTCTCTCTCTCTCTCTCTCTCTCTGCTCTTCTTGTGCTTTCTCTCTCAAATAAATAAACTTAAAAAATGCAGATTTAAACAAATAGATTCTTCAAAAATTAAAAAACTCATAAAAAGGACAAAAGAGAACTACACCCAATTAATTTTGTTATGAAGGTAGAAGGACAGGAGTGTGTGGGTGGCTCAGTTGGTTACCTGGCCAACTTGATTTCTGCTCAGGTCATGATCTCGCAGTTTGTGAGTTCAAGCCCCACATCGGGCTCTGTGCTGACAGTGTGGAGCCTGCTTTCGATTCTCTCTCCCTCTCTCTCTCTCTCTCTGCCCCTCTCGAGTGCTCTCTCTCTCAGAATAAGTGAATAAAACTAAAAAGAATGTTAGAAGGACAGAACATATTCTATTGTACTTAACAGTTTGCTAGCATGTTCATATCTTTTAAAGTTTTAGACATCTGGTTCCCCATTTATATCTTTGCACCTGGTCCACAAATTCAGGGGTGGCTCTGATTGAGCATGTATTAATTTTATAATTAATACCACTAATAACTACTATTTACTAAGTGCTTATTATGAGCTAGGCACTGAGCTTGTTACTGTTTGTACAAGAGCTCACAACACCTCTGTGAGGTAAATACCGAATTTCACTTTACAGCTAGGGAAACTGAGGCTTGGAGAGGCAAAGACGCTTGCCCAAACACTGCCAAAGCTGAATTAAGTTTACATTCACGGTGCCCATCCTGATGGAGACTAGTGCTAAGGGCTGACGGAACACCAGGGA